TACTGCCTTCTTCTGCGGTACAGGCCCAGAAGACGAGGGGTGATGGGATGGCGATTTGGGATGGAGGGGAGTGGGAGGGGAGGAGGTAGCGGAGGTGGAGGAGGATTTGGGATGTGAATTTTTGGGTTTTGGCGTGTTTTGTTGGGGGAGGGGCGAGGGAGAGGAGGAGGGTGGAGCCCCAGGTTTGAATGGTATAGGAGGGGGCTTCGAGGTCGATAGGTGTGCTGATGTATTCTACCCTCGACAGATTCTTGGAGGCGAGGAAGAGGGGATCGTTGAGTTGGTAGCGATCCGGGAAGAGGGATTTCGGGAGCGTAAGGTGGGTGTGGAGTGTGCAATCGCGGTCTGAGGACGGGAAAGGGGGCGTGGAAGAGGAGATGGAGAGTTCGAGGGTGGGATGGAGACCAGTTGGGAGGAGGTAGGTGGATGTGAAGGTCTCTGGGAGGGGATGGTGGCGAGAGGGGAAGGAGAAGAGTGTTGGGGAGAGCTTTTTGTGGTCCCCTATTACTGCGAGGAAACCGCCTAGTGAGAGTTCTTTGGGTTCTTTGGGAGGTGCGACGGAGAGGAGGCCAACTTCGAGACGGTGTTTGGCGTTATTTTTTACGTCGAGGTCCCAGGTTTGGGAGGACCAGAAGGTTGTTATTGTGAGGGCGTGGGAGATGGTGTCGTAATCTATGTCCACCGAGGATGCTGAGTTGAGGAGTGAGGAGCGAGAAAGACATTGAGGATCTGAATTTCGGCAGAGTTTATGGTCGTTATAGGATTTGAGCTCGGCTATGGAGGAAAGGGGGGTGTAGTATTGTGTTGCCGCCGAGAGCGAAAATCGTTCGTTGGGGAGGGTTGTAAATGATTCCTGCGAAGCTATTAGTACAAATTACATGTATCTGAAGACAGTTGAATAATACCTCCGGTGATATACAATCAATATCCCCAAAAACCTTCTTCAGAGAAGGACATAGCAGACTCCTGGCAGTGTTAGTTAAGGTAGCATAGCCAAACCAAGGTGCAATTTACGAATTATTGCTATTCCTCTGCGGGGTATAGAAAACATGAAGACCAGGTGAAAGTCTAGACACCATGGGCGAAACAGTATCATATGCCTTCTCGCTAACCCATCTTATATGTAACTCATGGCTAGCTTTGAGCACACGATATAGCTCCTGCGGGAGCTCATCGAACCCGAATGTTATCCGATCCTCCCTTGCTGCTTTGATATTCGTAGTCGAAATAGAATCGTCCGTGATTTTGATTGTCTCTGGGTTCACTGAGTCCTCTGGCTGCTGAACAAAGGTGATTCGTTGGCGCATTTTGTATGAAATATGAAGCTTTGAAGCAGATATCATGGGACGAAGGTAGTTGTTCCCTCGGCTCCAAATAGCATGTGGCAGAATCGAGCACCGCTGTCACCGCCTTCTTTAATTAATGAAGGTATGACGAGGCAACCTGGAAGACTGTGAATTCAAGCTGATCGAACCAACAGCTTCTTTGCTTCACCCCAGCCACCAAATATCAAACATATCTGTCCTTTTCTTTGCCCCTCTGGAATCCTATATATCAACAGAGGCTACTATGATATAAATCCAACCACCGCCTCGATTGGCATTGCACCAAACCAAAAGGTTCACAACCCCGCATCTGCAAAAATGCAGCTACCCAACCTCATCAGCGCGACTCTCATCGCCCTCCTCTTCACCCCCACCTCCATCCTCGCCGCAAAAGCCCCCAAAGACGCCATCCTCCTCTCAAACGTCAAATCCCTAACCTTGCGCGCGAACGCGAAAACCTCCCATCGTCGAGTCGCAGCCGTTCCCCAACTCACCTGCAAAGGCCCAGGATGTCGCCACTACAACGTCGACCTGATACGATGCACAAACCAAGGCTCGGGCTACAAAACCGAAGATATCGAATGGTCCTGCCTCGCAAACCTACCCGACGATTTCAAACTAGGCAGCACCGATGTCCAATGTGAAGGGTACGCACATCGCGACGACGAATACGTGTTGAAAGGCTCATGCGCCCTGGAATACAGATTACTATTAACCGAGAAGGGCGAAGAGAAATACGGTTCTAGTTTCTGGGGAGGGAGCAATAAACATTCCAGCGGTGAAGAAAGTGGAACTTGGGCTTCTGTACTCTTCGTATTTATATTCTTAGGGGTTGCTATCTGGATTCTATATTCCATGTGGGTAGCAGCTGCTGGTCAACGCGTAGCAGGAGGAAGACGCCCTGGAGTTGGAGGCGGGTGGGGAGGCGGATGGGGAGGAGGAGGTGGTGGTGGTGACAATGGTTGGGATCCGCCACCACCATACCCAGGCAAACGATATAGCACGAGAGCCAACGAAGGCTGGCAGCCAGGATTCTGGAGTGGTGCCTTGGGGGGCGCTGCAGCTGGATATATGGCGGGTAATAGAGGCCAAAGACAACAGGAATCTACGTCCTCCTTCTTTGGAAATGGGGGAAACCGTGCATCAAGTTGGGGAGGTGGTTCATCTAGAGCAAGTGGCTCTGGGTCAAGCTCGCGACATGAAAGCACAGGTTTCGGATCCACATCTCGAAGATAAGGACCCTGTCACGCATGTCAAATGTAATGGAATTTCGGAAATCAAGTGGTATTTGAGGAAATCGTAAAAAGGTTTCGCTTATTATTCATCTCTTGGTATATGGTACTTTTACAAACAATACCCCGTACCCAATGATAGGGGGTTCCCTGATGTGGACGCAGTGTCGGACCTCAATTCCGTACGACTAGAAGAAAAAGTTTGATGTACAAAGAAAGGCTCTCATCTCAAGAGCAAATGCAGAAAGCCACTCCATGTAATGCAGTCGTACACGAACCTCTAGGGTTAAACTGAACGCCAGTAATTCATAACTCAATAACTCAAACAGGTCAATGGCATTTCCATTGCTTCTGAAGGACCGAAAAATCAGAAATCACATGTGGATTGTCATTACATCCATCTTATCGAATTTTTCGGCGCAATTAGGACATTTCCGCATGCGGTTACTGATTCGGTCGTCGACGCAGTGATTGCAAAATACATGGCCGCAGGTCTTCAAAGTTGTATTCTTGAAATCTTTCCGACAGATGGTGCACAAGGCAAGAGACTAAGAATGTTAGCATATGCCTTGAATATCCAGATGTAGTTTAGACATACTCTCAACATCTCCTCTTCACCAGACTGGTTGCTGAGACTCTTCAACTTCCATGTATCCCTTTCTTTCAGAGCACTTTCGTATTTGACACGAAGCTGTGTCAATTCCGTCTCCAAAGCGTGGGTTTTTTGCTTGTTGCTTGAATTCGCAGAATCCTTTGCTTTCAATAAACTGGTCAATTCCACAACTTGATTCTTCAGACTGTCAACTTTGCTGGTGGCTTCCCGGGTCGTTGCTTCCATCTTCTTGTTCTCGGACATGATTGCTGTGTTTGCTTGTCTGGTATCGCTCAATTGTTTCTCTAGATTGCTCGTAAGAGTACGGTTAGAGGCCTCAACATCCTTGAGCTGCGTGATGATATCGGAACTTTTGTGATTCTGTGTTCGAAGAGCTTTCACCTCCATGATTCTGGTATCCATGTCTTTCCTGGCGGCAAAATATTTCTGATCAGCCTTGGCCTTTTCAGCTTGAAGAATCTGAACTCTCTCTTCCAGGGCGGTGAAGTCCATGACCTTCTTAGTCGACAATGCCTGTACACGCTTATATGCGCCTTGTAGAGCAGGCATTTCTTTATTGATTGACTCAAACTCCTGTGCAAGAGCCTCATATTTGTGTCGCAGCTGATCCTGGTCCAAAGTATCGATGTTTGGTCTTGGTGTTGGCTCGCAAGCTGCCTCGTCAATTTGCGTTTTAAGTCGACTTACTTCTAGTTCCAAAGCAGAAATCCGATCGTCCTTTGCAGTAACCAGTTCCTTGAGTTGATCGCTTGACGTGCGAGCGTGCTCCTCGTTCGACTTTCGCATACTAAGCTCTGCATTTAGTTCATCCCGGATGGATCTTATTCTCGTAAGGTCTGCCTCAGCGCGAGCCAACTGGTTCTCAAGTTCCCCAGTAATTATCTCAGATTCGGTTTCGATTTGCGCTCGGTATGCGGTTCGCTCAGCTTGATATTTTTCCGCCTCCTCTCGGAGTTGAATGTTGGTGGCTTCCAAATGGTTGATTCTTCGGATGACGTCCTCGTGCTGAACCCTAGTTTGTTTAAATAGCTCGGTACGTGCATAATCGTCCTCCGTAAGATTTGAAAGTCGGGTAGCTGCTGTAGTAAGTTGTTCAGTCAAGGATTTATTTTCGGCTGCAATTGCCTCAAGCTGTTCCTTTTGCTTTGCAAGGACAGCAACAGCCTCTTCATACGCAGTTTTGGAAGCTTTGCTCTCCTCGGAAGTACCATGGACCATTTCCGTGTCTCCATTTTCAGCCGATCCGATGCCAGTACCAGAGGAATTTGCGATTGCCTGTTGTTCAAGTTTGGCGACCGCTGTGCTTCTCGCCCGATCCAAGCGCTTTTCGGCTTTTATGTAACGCAATGATGCTGTCTCGAGTCGCTCACTGAGTTCCTTCTTCTCGGTCCGTAATTTATCCACAGTAACGACATACTCCTTCTGTGCTGATAGCAGCTTTGTTAGTTTTGACTGCAAGTCTTGAACATCGGATGATGGCTTATCGCGAATTGAGGCCAGGTTGGTGAATATAGCTTGGAGCTTTGACTTAATCTCCTTGGCGCGTGATGCCAGGTGACTTTGAAATTCTTCACTACCCTTAAATTGCAACTTCGTCGGGAAGGATGCTATCGAAGACGTCAGCTTTGGTACTGTGTGTTTGGAAACGAACTGACCATCGACATCGTCTGAAGAAGGGATCCGATCTTCTACCAATAGTTTGACTTCGTCCAGCAACTGTACAGCCTTGTCAGCATGTCTCGTAGAGTATGATACGAGCTTGAAATTACCTGTGTCCACCAGGCGTTGATCACCCTCAAATGGTCATCGTGGTCGACGGAGCGTTTTTGGATATCCCTCAATTGTGATTCCAATGTCACCTTCTCCCGCTTGTACTCGAGCATTTGTCTGTAAATTGCATCCTTTTGGTATTTCTAAATGTGACATGCGTCAGCAAGATCTCGCACTTTGTATTCGCTCTTCTGAAAAAGACAATGCTTAGGACTTATGTACGTGTTCTAGCGGCAGGATTGGAATGATGAGGGTCTATGGTGAGCAAGCTGTCGAGAGCAAGCTGCGCATTAGCACTGGCTCCATAGATCATACCAGCAGTACACAGAACGGGAAGAGTCCCATACGGCGTCGCAGATACACATGAAATTGACGCAGGAACATGACATGAATCGATGTCGATGGAACGAGACTAATACCAAGGCTCGATGATGGAACATACCTCAAGATCACCAGCCCATGGCATATCTGCATCGGCAGACGCCTTGCCATTCACTGCTTGTCGCTTGGTTGGGGGCGCCAGATCATCACCGGCCGCTCTCTTCCTATCCTCCATCTTGGAGAAGGACGGATGAGACGAGGGGATGGTGACGGGGGAGGGCATCAGATTTCGGAGGCCTTGCGGCAAGCGACCATGCCAGGAAAGATTTGAGATGAGGGCGGAGGCGCGCTGGAGGGTGCAAAGCGCAAAAGAAGAATGGGTTGCGGCGGATCGGTGGCAAGGTGGTATCGAGACAGGAGGTTGAAGGTCCAAAGAATCGAGCAACGCCAAATCGCTAATGTCCTGGTCACGTGTGGCGCTAAAATAGCGCGAAATTACCCCGGTCGCTTGATTTCCTTGTGCCCCGCTGTTTCGTCGACCTCCACCTCGACTTTTCCCCAAATCAATTACGATAACATTCACTTTTCAACGCCAACCCTCTCCATCAACATCGCAAATAATCGCTTTCTCACCAGAGATATCTCATACCCAACTAGTTAGATGCTCGATACGAATAGCCGCCACCATGTTGAAGGGCAGAAATAAGAAGTTTGCGCCCAAGGTTGGCGGGGCTCGACGACCTACTGCAACCCCCGCTTCGACTCAGTCATCAGCGCGCCCCAGCGTCGAACCTCAGTCGGAGTCTCTCACATTGATGCCCAGCATCGAAAGAGATGACTCTCCCCCCCTCCCCGACCAAGAGCCTATCGCCGTGGAATCAGAAAAGGCAAAATCTGTCGTCGACATCACCAATTCCGAAACGAGTCAAAATGTCAAAAAAGAGAACGCGACCAAGCCACGAGCCACGACACTCGCCTCCCCAAAGAGAAAGGCACAGGATGATATACCCTCGGAGCCACCGGTCAAGAAGATTTCTCTACCTACATCAGCAAGAAATGAAGAATCAATGGCGCATTCGGCGCGTTCACAACAAACTGTTTTAGGAGACTCGATGGAAGTTGACCCACCAGCCGCGGACAGAATATCTCTCCCACCGCAAGCAGATCTCGATTCCACTTCGCGAGAAGCCACCGGTAATGTCATAGCAACTACCAATCCAGACAATGGCAACGCTCTGGCACCACGAACTTTCACAAATCCTGTTATTGAGGCACAGCCTGAAGCACCACGAATAGACAACGAATCGGACGCACAGAACTATGCAACCCCGACCAATACCAACATCCAGGATACAGACATGGAAGGGAATGACGTTGGAAATTCGCGAGCTACTTCGCCGGATGATCCACGGTCACCACCGCCAATGGAATACCCCACGCCACCGGGCACAAATGCTACGTCTGCCAGCCCTGCGCCGGGCCTGAATGCTGTTGGTGTGGCAGTTTCAGGTAATGGCGCCGCTGGTACTTCCATGAAAGACGCAGAATCAGGCGAGATGGGACAAAGATCATCTGCTAGTCCTGCGGCAAGCTTAGATGGCGATGAACTGGGCGCAGAAGTTACGGCAGACCCTTCTGCTTCTGGAAAAGGAAAAGCCAAGAAGAGAAAAACTACAAAGAAGAGGAAGACCCGGGCTCAGGAAGGCGACGAAGCAACAACTACTGCCGACACACCAACCGACAAGCCAAGACGCTCGAAGAAACCCCGTAGGAAGAGAGCAGATGGAGAGAAGCGTGACAGAAGACGAGCTGCGACACCGGACGATGCAGAGGATGAGATAGTCGATTTTAACGCCATGAAAGTGTCTGACTTGTGCAGAGATCTTCGCATTGGAAAGAAGTTTAGTCGCCACGATGCTATCAAGCAGAGATACGAAGAGTCGAAGATCAAGGCACGGCTAGCAAGAGATAATCTAGAAGTAGAGCAGCCCGCGGAAGAAACACAAGCACAGCAAGAAGTCGATCCAGACGCCGATGAGGACGAAGATGATGATACGGCCCTACCCCCTCCTCCCGGAGGAATCAGACAAGTCGTCGTTAATGGTCAGATTGTCGTAGACCAAAGTTCTACTCAACATGACGCACAAGCCGCTGCCAGAGAACAGCGTGAGGCAGTCGAGGTTGTTGAAGAAGATGATTACTCTCGGCTTATTACGTCAAATTCATTTGCTAAAAAAATGAAGACTCAAAAGTGGGATGAATTGTCTACGGAACTGTTCTACCAAGGCCTTGCTCAATTCGGGACTGATTTCGAAATGATCGCGAAAATGTTTCCTAAACGAGAACGCAAGTCGATCAAATTGAAGTTCAACAAGGAGGAAAGAACAAACCCCGTACGGGTTACCAGCGTCTTGAGAGGAGAGAAGAAAGAAATAGACCTGGATTGGTTCCAAGAGAAGAGCAATATCAAATTGGAAGATGTGGAAATCCTCAACAATGAACGCGAAGAGGTCGAAAAGGAGCACCAAAAGATGCAAGCCGACTTCCTCAAAGAGCAGGCAGAATCCAATGCGGCCAAGGCAAGGGAAATCATGGGGGAAGACAACGATGCTGAAGAGTCAGCAGCGAACAAAGATGGCGGTGCCGCGAATTCAGGAAAGGGTAGAAGCGGTAAAGGTGGGAAGAAAGATAATGCAGCCAGAAAGAAGAAGAATATTCACAGTAGTAACACTGAGGAGACGTTCGAGGTAATCGAAAGCATTGAGAAGGACTGATTTGTATGATGTTGGTTTTGACGAAGTTGTTTTGTACGAGTATTTTTGGGCTGGTCTGGGCATTGATCAGGGTATATACCTGGAGCGGAGGTTCTTTGATTTGGAGCGTGGGAAAGAATGGCGTTATCTGGGTGGCATTTGCTTCTCGCAGCGAAAATTGGGTACATACACATGGGTGGATTTTTGGCGCATGATGATACCCAGACGAGAACTGTTCTCATGTACCGTATCGTCTTCATTTTTGGACAATTGAATTGTCATAAAATCGTGAATCAAAAGAACAAACTTCTTTGACCAGACCTCCTCTATCCAAAAATTTAGTGCTCTCTTAGACCATTCCCATCCACACGCGCCCGTTCTATTCCTGTTCCCTAATCCTTCTTGATATACTTCTCAAAAGTAGGACCCACAGTCTTCCCACTCTTTTTAAGGTATCTCTTCTGTCCGCCCTCATAATTCACATACGTACTACCAAACCTAGTCTCATATCCCTCCGCCCACTCAAAGTTATCCATCAAACTCCAAGCCATGTACCCCTTCACATTCGCACCATCCTCTACAGCCTGCGCCAGGGCCTCAATGTATCCACGGTAGTACTCACATCTAAACTCATCATCCAGAATCTCCTCTAATGGCAAGTCCCCTTCGCCTTTCACACTCGTACCATTTTCCGTGCAGTAGATTGTGGGGTAGTCGTACCGCTTCGATATCCAGAGTAGCAAATCGTGGAAACCCTGGGGGTTGGGCCGAAGCCAGAAGGATTGCGTTTCGGGCCCGATGCATTCTCCGGACTTGGAGATGAAGGTCATGTCGAGGTTTCCTTTGAAGTCATCTAACGGCGCGGGCGTGGTGCGATGTTTTATGTAATTTGCCGTGTAGTGGTTCATGCCATAGAAGTCGTTGGAGCCTTTTACCAAGGCGATTTCTTCAGAGGTGAAGGTTGGGAGGCGGGAGCCGAGTTGCTTTTTCATGGATGAGGGGTAGGTGCCTAGGTAGATGGGGTCTGCGAACCAGGAGATGCTGAATTCTAGTTTGCGGTTTGCGGCTTCGACGTCGAGGGGGTCGTTTGGGTCCCAGGGGTAGACGCCGTCTCCTGGATTTGTATTAGCGAGATATAAGCTTGAAAAAAAGGAGTGGAACCGAGACTTACCATTAAGAGTAATACCAATCTGTCCCCCATTTTTCGGTTTAAACTCCTCTCTATAAATCTTAACCACCGTCCCATGCGCAACCAAAAAGTTATGTCCCACAATCCAAGGCTCCGTACTACTATCGCCCACACTCGACTTCTCCCTATAACTCGTATGACCCGGAGCAAACAATCCAGTACTATATCCCAAAACCGAACTACACCACGGCTCATTGAACGTAATCCACCACTTAACCTTCGGCAGCGCAGTAAACAACACCCTCGCATAATTCGCGTAATCCTGTACCCACTCCTCCTTATTCAGCAGCCCTCCATACCTATCATCCAACTCCTGTGGTAGATCCCAGTGGAAAAGCGTGACCATGGGAATGATACCAGCAGCTAGGAGGTCATCCACGAATTTCACATAGAAGGCGAGACCAGCAGGGTTGACGGGGTCGTTCCGTCCACCTAGGGGAATGACACGCGACCAGGAAATGGAGAAGCGGTAACCTTTTGCGCCAGTTTCTTTGAGGAGGGCGATGTCTTCGCCGGTTCGGTGGTAGGAGTCGCAGGCTACGTCTCCCGAGGAGGCATCTGCGATTTTGCCTGGGATTTTACAGAACTTGTCCCAGATTGAGGGGCCACGGCCGTCTTCCGCGGGGGCTCCTTCGATTTGGTAGCTAAGAGTGTTATTACTTGTTCTTGTATTCAGAAACACTAGTACTTACGAAGCAGTAGCGAACCCCCAGAGGAAATCTTTATCAAGTACTTGACCGACCATGATTTCAATTGAATCTATCTCAAATCAATTGACTTATAAGGTGTAAACCTAATGCGACTTTGCCAATACAATGGCAAGAACAAAGAGCAGAAGTGAAATAAATGTGAAGAGGGATCAAGGGGAACTCGTTGGCAAGAGAAATATCTTGATTTTTGTGATAAAAATTCAAAAGTTAAACAGGAGAAAAGATTGAAAGAAGTACACGAGCTTCTCGGTCCGTTCTCACCGGAAGAATACCTCAGCCTCTACGATGCATATAGGGCGTTTTTGTATGTTTCGGTCTGGAGCCCCCGCCCTATGATAGCGGGGTCATGGCCACGATGTTGGGGAATTGATGGGGAAGCGGGCCTGTTAAGCCGGCGGATAAATTGCACCGGATCATCTTCGGCATGGTTTTCGTAGGATTTTTTGGGTGAGGTTTTGGTATACGAGTACATGGTTCAAATGTGTAGGTATAAGTGGGATAAACATATTTAGGGTTGGAAGTGGAGAAAAGCTGTGTATTTCTAGGGTTAAGTCCAAATGTGTTAAAATAGTAGGTAGAAGCAGCCCTGGGCTGACTAATTTTCAGTATTGTATCACTACTCCAATTGATATGTATGTTTTCAGGTTAGCCATTGGGTTTGACTTGCAGGGAATACCATTGCTGATCCTATATTAGGTACTAGTATCGTATTTCATACGACGCCTCTGGTTTCAAAATGACCTAAACGCCCTTATTCAGCCGGAGTCATCGTTCGTTTTGCTCTACTTTCTCTCTCTCGTTCCCCATGATGGCCTATCATATTCTCCCCGAGCCGTCAAAGATAGGTAAACCATGGACCCTTCAGAGATAATTTCGACTATCGAAACCATACCAAGCAAATCTCCTCATCAGATGTCGCTCACATTATTGTTCATTCGGGACCGTCCCCATTTATTGTAATATCAAACGACCCTTGAGAAACCTCGTCCCAAAGAGGTACATCGACAAACTAAATTCCAATACCGGTTGCCTTGGTATCATCTTCCTCTAAATCGCCGTGTTTCCTCTTTGTGGGACTGGCGTTCCCTGCATCACCATCATCGGTCCACTCCACAATCTCCCACTCAATAGTGTATCGCCCGGTCGGATTGGTACTCTTTCTTCTGCCCTTACTCATCCTGCCGAGTTTGCTACCTTCAACGAGGGTCTCAAACCAAGGCAACCCTTCGTTGACATCGTGCTTTGTTGTGCTGGTGGTACCAGTAGTGTTGGTTTGGATAACTGGCACAACATTTTTGAAGGTCTTCTGTTTATCACTCTCCACATCCTCCAAAGCTTCTTTGGGCAATAGACCGAGTTCCTCCAAGTCCCGCAGAGTTTCATTGGCCAAACTACCCAGCGTCAATGAGATAAAATCCTTGTCATTGGTATTGGGGGTTTCGGTCCAGTACGAAAGAGGGGTTCCGCAAAAGCCACAGAACTGACGTTGAGTATTCTGCTCTCTAGGGGAGGTATAGGTTCGGCGAATGGAGTTGTGCGATTCGTCGTCGAAAAAGGCAAATGTGTTTGACTCGTACCAGGAGAGAGGAATACGAAGCCAAGCGGAAAGTGGTACCGCTTGGGAGCGACCTGCAGCAAGCTTTAGCTTGGTTTCTTCAATTCGTGTTATACCGGGACGTAGAAAGGCCAAACTCACGATGAGCTGCGCTTGAATCGAAAAAGACCTGCGCGACCTCTGCGGCATCGTGGGGAATGGATACCGTGTATTTGTTTCGACCACAAGAACAGCCGCCGTGAAGCGGGTGGTGTTGGCTCATTTTGAATGGCGCAACCGCAGAGGCAATGGAATTGTGTTCGCCTAGATGGCAAGAATTGCAAAGTAAATGGTGTTTTGGTTTGGGTTTTGTACGGGTAGCGGCCAATAATTGAGTGATTGAGTGATTGAATGCGACAGAAGGTGAAGGAAACAATTGCGTTGGTCGTTCCTGACGTATTAACTATGTACATCCACTCTGATTGGTGGCCGAGAAAAGGACGAGGGGCTCCATGGTGGGGCGGAGGGGGCGTGGTCTGATCCCCGTCGAATGCAGCAAATCCGACAAGGACAAGCACCACCTCAACCGCTTTTTTTCGGAGCTTCTCTTCACTTTTCGTGGAATGTCCTGGTAGTTTCTCTTCACTGCCATCTCTACGAGCATCTCCTCATCTTCCCACTATTGCTATCCATCCATACCGAGGCTCCCAGCGGACGGGAGAGCCGCAGGAAATCAATACCTCGTTGTTCTTTCTTTTCTAGCTTCATACTTGACTGGGATCTAAAGTGAGTCTTTTCTTTTTTGGAATTCGAAACAAGCAGAATAAGTGAAATACTTCAGTGCTTTGTAATCAACCATAACAGTGAAGAGGACTATTTACTGCTATTCTGCCTTTTCTGTCCACCAGAAGCGAAGGAAAGTATTCAGCATTTCGTACAACAGCGAAAGAGGAAATAGCTTCAATTTTCTCTACTGTAGCCTGTTTAGTATCCTAGGCAATATATACTGAAAACACTCGTCTAGTCTATCATTTTGGACGTTCCGAGAAAATAGCTACTGTACTTCAAAACAATATATAAGCGAGGGCCAGTGTATTGAGTGGGTGGAGATAGATATGATAGCAATAGCATATAGATAACATGTTCTGTAAACTCGAGCTCATTGGCAGGAACAAAAAAAAGGAAAGTGTTGATGGGGCTTGCAGTAGTCTCAGACATTCCTGACTCCTCCAATCTCTCCCACCCTCTTCTCCCCTTCAAACTCGAGTACGCTCACAACCACATCAACTATCCCAATTGAATGTACCCAACAATGCGTTCTGTCGTTCGACATTGCCGTACTGCCCAACCATTCCTCAGCTCCTATTATATACGGGCAAGCAGGCAGAGCCAGTCGCGAAGCACAGTTCACCGTATTTCGCACCAACGAACGGATTTTTCCTCATATCTTTCGCAGTCCATGTATTACTCTACACGCACAGATGCACCAAAGAGCTCAAAAGATGACGATCCGGAGGTCAATTCTTACAAAAAGAGAAATCATCCTTCCAAATACCAAAATGGGACAGAAAGCAGCATCGGAAGTACGAGAGTACTGGGAAAGCAAAATTCTAGCAACAGGAGACACATCTGTACACCAAGACACCAAAGGAACAATATCTCTAAAGACTTTTTGTTTTAAACCCGGGATGACTCCACGGTACTGGATAAAACACTCATTGATAGTGAAGGTGTGACATTTGGGAGCTCCCATAAGCTTGGTATCAAGTGTTTAGCACTGGGATATCCACTCTTATTGGGTTTACGCTGTCACGCCCCTATTGTTGGCTGGTATCTATGTTGTGACGATGATAATGCCAGACGTACCATTATACGAGGTGACATGGGCAGGTCCACAACGAGTCACCACTCTCTCAAGGGTTAAGAACATTCAGCAAGAACTCGATGCTATTCGCACTCAATACAAAAACCACATACTACCATCAAATTCCTCTGAAGTGGTTGCTGTGACTGAAGTTCTTCGTCGGCTAGTATCTGGCACAGAACTAGCTGAAGTGGAATGGGACGTATTAGTGATTGATGAACCAGGTGGGTTTCAAAGTCTTTGACTAAAGCTGAGCTAATAAAATCAAATAATAGAAGATTTCTCTCCGCCTCTGGTAAAGAAAGGACTAGTTGTATTCTCAACTGCCGCGATGAGACTTTGTATAGACTCAACTAGTCTCGCGATTGTTTTAAGCAAAAAAATAGCTCATGTGCTCAACGACCCTTGCTTCCAACCTGAAGCACCATTAATATAACCATTAATATTAACATTATTCTTGCCAACGTTGACAGTTGTCTACATGGCTATTCCTTTGCCGAGAAACTCTACGGCAAGACTGTTCCTATCTTTCAGTTATCCGACGATTGTGTCAGGTACAGGCGGCATGATGTTGAGACCCTATTGGAAGATGGAGAAGCTAAGAATCAAAGAAAACAACTTAGCATTCACCATGATGACAAACGCTGGATACGATATAACTTATAATGAAGTTTCCGCTGAGTTACAATGTATTCGGGGTTATGTTCTCAATTCTGATCTGGCTGAGTCCAAGAGAGGCGGTTGGAGATATACATAAAAGTGAATTGATTGGTGGGAGGCGTATAAGTTTGTCTTGCTAATGTGGTGGTTAAGTATGTTACTTGAAGGGAAAAGCTCCTGCTGTCATTTCATGTTGGACCGTAAGGATGATGTTTTCAAAATGTGTAAGATAGCCATGAAGTGCATATCTTCAGGTGTTACGTTACTCAACTCAATTCTAAGAAGAATCATTGGAAGGAAAGATAGAGAACAAAACAAACAAAGAAATCACTCCTCTCAAACAAGACGCCCCTACCAGAACGAGCTCTTTCCTATTAATTTTACATCCACTGGGTCATCTAGCACTTCTTTGACATCAATGCCGTTCTGTTAAAGGAGATGCCAATTTTCTTCCCATTTGATTTTTCCCCTAGTGACAGACAGGGAAAGAAAAGGTATAAGTCTCTCTCTATTCTAATTCTGTGAAACAACTCGTCTATATCTCCTAGTCTTCATCTGGGCTATTGCATTATTAGCATCTCAGCCACAAATCCGAATCTCAAAGTTAGGATTTGAAACGCTGCTTTTTGTACCTATCGTATACATCGACCTCGCTTAACTTCGTATACCCCCCTTTTCAATTACTACCCTACCTACCCACTCTCTTGATTATGAAAACTCGACTGCTGATATCCCGGTTCAATCATTTCCGTTCCGTGTTTACTTGCTTTTTATTTCGTGTCGGCTCCATATACGGGGCACTGTTTCACCGCCTGGCGTGCAGTAGCCGACTTTTTCAAGACATTCCTAGATAGAGATTGAATTTCGTAGGGGGGAGACTCATCCTCCAAACATCAGCGCTCAATGTATTCTGTCGTTCGAAATCGTCTTGGTCCCAGGCTGTTCATCCGGCCTCTTCGTACCAAGGCTTTCAGACATAACCACATCGCGCTTCGTCGTATTCCGAACCACTGCCACGTCCGAGCTTTCCTCCCATCTTCGTCATTCCTCGCAGATCATAGGCAATACTCTTCGCAAAAGAAGTCCCCGGGGAACTCACGACATGACAATGAAGAAGACGAAGTGGATGAAGAGAAGGAACCGGATGAAGAGGATGAAGAGGGTTGGTACAACGTGATAGAGATTAGCCTTCCAAGTACTGTGGAGGGAAAAGAACTAGCCAGCAAGGTGCGAAAATACTGGAAGAGTGAACTTTTGAGAGAGGGAGAGACGCCTTCACATCAAGACGCCGTAGGGGAAATACCCTTGAAGGGGTCCCAATACACTGACGCCCCGGCGTCAGTATAGAGCTGACTAAGCGCGGGTTTTCACGCCCCCCCACCATCCACGAACACTCTACTTATACCTATAATTAATACATGCTT